TCTGATTTCTCACCTTACATCATGTTGTTCTATAGGCTTATGTAAAGTATAAAGGCAACCACACTGTCCAGTTCAGTCAGTACGTTTACATGCAGCCAATATCCAGGTTATGATCGGGTTAAAGTCGGGATTCGGGTTTCTGAGTTGATCAGAATAACTCGTTTACAAGCATAAATAGAAAGAGTTACCTCTAACGTGCATAACCCGATTTAACTGCGGACGTTGGGGTAGCGTCAGGACGTATGGACTACATCCAGACGCAATATGCGTCATTTCCGGTTCTTCTTGTTCTGGTATCCGTGAAAACAACAACATGTTTCCCAGTTCGGAAGAGATAGTTACCGCGTTTGTTTGCGCTTTAGTTTCCTCGTCACTCAAAGTGTGGTGCTGTGCCGCGACTCGCCATTTTGCCCCCAACTTGTTGTTTACTTCCGGTGTTCTGACGCGTACAAGACGTCTCGCTACTCAAAAGAACAAGATTCTTTGCGAACAGAGCATGCGCAGAACACACTCTTTAATGGGGATATCCCGGTATGCGTTTACACGACCAAGCATTCGGGTTAGAAAAGGGTTACCCCAGGTGTAGTAACCGGGTTTTTAAAAACCCGGTTATGAGCATAGCCGGGTTTTTGGCGGTGTTTACAAGGACCTGCGGAACCGGGTTATTGTGAATATTCGGGTTTTAAAAGGCTGCATGTAAACGCACTAAGTGTTTCCCTTACAGAGGCGTAGCCGTGGCGGGCCGCCACGGCTGAAATCCCACCGCCATGCCTACAAGATCCCAAGTTTTATTGTTTTTTTTTTCTTTCTTTAGTTTTTTTTTTTCGCGCCGTTTCCCGAAGAAGCAGCGGGAACTACTGTGTTGTTGCTTGTGATCACAGCCGGCAGGCAGCAAGGAGGAGGAGCCAGGGCAGGGTGGTTACAGCTAGTGATGAGCGTACGGATAAAGCATTTTTGATGAATACGAACATGAAACGAGTGTAAAACTCATAAATATCTGTAATTGTGCTGAAGGAAAATCCTCATTGGGTTACTGACTGTCTTCACGCTCTGTTATTGGCCAGTCACATTGAGCGCCCGCCCCTTCCTACACACGAAACTCTGCAGCCCGGATGGGAGCTCAGTCTGCTCAGCCCAGGCATCCACGCTCACACACAGACAGTAACAGATCTCTCTGTGCTTGCTTCACTGTAGCCCACGTTTCTTCGGTACTCCCTACGTTTTCTTCAGCTCGCCTCTTTTTCAGTTCAATATTTAAAGTTACTTTTTTCGTAACGTACGTGGTGCATTTGACAAGACAGAGCTGAAAACGGCTCGTGCTGCGTCGGTCACTGCCTCCGCTCCGGCCGGGTTTTTTAAAATTATTTTAACTCTCTCTCCTCTCTCTCTCTCTCTCTCTCTCTCTCTCTCTCTCTCTCTCTCTCTCTCTCTCTCTCTCTCTCTCTCTCTCTCTCTCTCTCTCTCTCTCTCTCTCTCTCTCTCTCTCTCTATCGCTCTCTCTCACACACACCTTAATCAACATTGTTTTGTTTAACTGTGTGTGGGGAAAATGCCAACAACGTTAGGAAAAAATCAGTTTAATCAAATAAAAAAAAGTTGTGTCTGGTTCTCGTATTTCATATTTCCTAGTTCCTACTGCATGAGTTCAGAAGCATTAATTCATGCACTTAAATATTAATGTTCTGATTTTACTGAAAAACGTGTTCTGTAAGGCTTCCTTTACTATTGTGATCAAAAATATTTAATCCCAGTTCTGAGGCTGCTCTGTAAATAGTTTTCAAATAAACAATAGTCTATAAATAAACAACTTCTGATCAATCCATATCAATTTCAGATTTCAAATTATGTATTGATGTAAACCACACCCACTAATTTCCAAATAATAAATAAGAGGTGCATTCATCTGTGTTTCTCCTTTGATCTGCATTAGTGATATTTTCAGCACCAGAACAATGAAGCAAAGAAACAGATTCCCGAGTTTGTTTTATTTATTAGGTGCATCTGACCTGTTCTATTTTTCTCTGAAATGAGATCAAATCAGTCCTTCTATGGGTTGTCTCCTCTCTGCACTATAAAAGTTTACTTTATTATAATGTTCACCGTAATGCATCTTGATGTTCTTAACAAATGAATAAAATCAAAGATATTGGTCAATAATGCCAAATATGTAAATTTGTGTTTCAGTCATTTTTATACTGGCTTAAAAATGCTTCATTAGGTCTACTAAGCAGGGGTGTAGAATGTTTTTAATGGGGCCAGCCCAGTAATGATCTTGGACCAAAATACAGGGGGCAGAAAGTCAAATAAAGGGGGGCAAAAGGAGATGTTTTTCCCAGACGCCAAGAAAAATTTAATGCCAAATCCCCCATGCAAAGTGTGTCACTGAGAGTTTAAAACAGAAATTACTCTTGTGCAAATATTGGTGTATTCACCTTTAATACTAGTTATTAAAATGCAGCAGTTGCTGGATTGGTGCAGTTCAAAGTGGAATGCATCAAATAAAACAATATTAACATAAAGGTGAGACGTGTCATAATTTTACACACCCCTTCATCACCACCACCACCACAGCTGGAAAAATTCCTAGGGGAAACACTGCAGTTACATTGGTAATTGTAATTTCAGGATTTGTTGTGCGGCTGTCATGATCTGCCCCTGCCCTTGATTAGTCCCTATTGGTTTCACCTGCCCCTTGTTAACATGGCCATGTGTTCCTGATTTTCCCCAGTGTATTTTTACTTCCCGTCTCGTATGTCCTGTGTCAGATCATTGTGGTTTGTTTGTCATCGTTGTCTCGTGCTGTTCGTTCCCGATCTACCATTAAGAAAGAAAATCATAAATTTATTTTGTGAAAATGAAAACAATGATGCAGAGGCCTGCTTCAGTAATTTATGTACATTATATTTATTATAAATAAAGTTGAAAAAGATGCCAGTCTGGGGATTATTGTTTTCCTGGACAACACCTGGGGCAGCTAAGATTGTGTCCCGTAGCCTAAAATAAATTATGTTGGAATGAAAGTCACTCCAGTAGCTCAGAGTACACGTCTGGCCTACAAAATAATTTGTTAGAGACTATTACTCTAAAACTCAAATCAAATGTCTTTGTTGACTAAAACCTTTTTGAATTTTAGTCGACTAAAGCTGATTAAAACTAAAATGCATTTTTGTCATAAACTAAGACTTGCTGACTGATGCTCACTTCATATGGCATGGAGCTCTACGGGACAGGGGCGGGCTTAGCGGGGGAAAAGACATATTTCCTACGTTATATCACAATACACAATAACAAAATTGGTTTATGGATTTCTGTAAAATCATTATTCCTGAAAAGGGAAAACTCTGGATATCAACTTTAAACAGATCGAATTGTAGTTCCAGTTTTCTGGCAGCAGAGGGAGACCATTACCTGAGTTTGTAGGCTTATATGGCTCCATCTCCTCCTCCTCTACCTGCTTCGATATTAAAGTTCAGGACAGAAACAAGAGTTGTGGTTTTAATTCCAGCTTAATTTATAAAATGATGCTAAAATGGTCTCTTAAATGATAAAAATACCAGTTCCAGCAATACTTTCAGAATAGAAATGTAGTTCTAGTTTGTTTCCAGTGGAGGGCGACAACCCCTCTTTACTCCTTGGCAGAAAAACGTTCCAGTTCATACTTGATCTGGAATAACAGGAACATAGTGTATAAAAATAAATCATTGTTTTTCTCTAATTGGGTTGAGAAGCAGATCATTTTTGTGAATCAGTTGTATAATACTAATGGACAGCTTATGTCTTACACAGAACTCCTAAACACATATAAATTTCCAGCAACTCCCAAAGAATATGCCATACTGTTTGCTGCAATACCTATGGGTGTTAGAATGCTTTTTAAAGGTGTTCTACCAGTTGTACCGCCTATTTCTTCTCCCGACCCTGTGAACACATACGTAGGAAAAGTTTGTCTTATCAAGCATAAAAACGGTAATAGGAATATTCGTGCTTTATTTCAGAGAGAATCCTTATCTGTTCCATATGTGATTTTTTATTGGAATTCCTTTGTCACTGACATCAGTTGGAAAAGAGCATGGATCATTCCTAATAAGTATTTTGTGACAAATAAGGTCAAAGAAGTTTCATTCAAAATACTTCATGAGTGTTACCCAGCTAATCACTATATGACAAAGTTTAAGAGGGACATTGATGTGAATTGCTGTTTTTGTGGATGCCACCCTGAGACCGTTCAGCACCTCTTCTGGATCTGTTCACATGCTACAACGTTTTGGAAAGACTTTAGCAGATTTATTATCGGACAGCTCTGCAAGGACTTTGTTTTAAAATGGGAAAATGTTGTATACTTTGGAAGATGTATACTTTGTTTTAAATTTGTTAATTATTCTAGCTAAATTCTATCCCCACAAATGCAAATATAGTAACCAAAAACCTAATTTCAAGCACTATTATAGTGACACTCTATCTTACATAAAATTGATCACTAAACAAAAAAGCTTTAAAAACTATAACTATTTGCACCACCTATAATTTATTTGGATGTGTGTAACATTTCTGTAGTGCACCCCCTGGCATATGTCTCATCTTCTTTGTTCAATTTTGTATGCAATTTGTTTGTATACTTATCACCTTGTTCAATAAAGTTTTGAAGAAAAAAAACGTTCCAGTTCCTACTAATCACCTTGTTCAATAAAGTTTTGAAAAGAAAAAAAATAATAAAAAAAACGTTCCAGTTCCGTAGTTAGCTTAGCTGTGTTTAGCACTTTGGCTCCACACAGCCACCATGTTAACATTGTTACATGAATACAGTTTTTTGTTTTGTTTTCATTTTAGCTAAACATTAAGGAAAGAAGATTGTTAGAGCGAGTTTTCTCGTTACTTCAACGTGTGCCAGGAACAGCTTTTGCCGTCGACTCCACTTATTAGGCAGCAGAGGGCGACAAAGTTAAACTCATCGTGTTTTTATCAGTAGAAGAAGAAGTGGCGCAGAAGAGGTTGGTGTTTTGTGTTGAAGTGTTTTCTTTTTGACGAAAACCCGTTCTAAATACAGTAACTGTACGTTTGTTTAAGACACGCCAACACTCCACAGTTCGCTGATCACGTCGCTAAATAACTCGACTAAACTAGCTGAAATAAGTCATGCAGCCATCAGGACACTTGATGTTTTAATAGTCATTTTAGATTTACTTTGACTTGACTTTATTGTCACGTAGAGGCACTGTGTTTGTACCTGGACGTGTGTGAAATAGAACAGGGATGCGCCTGTCTGTCCAGAGCAGAAAGAGTGTGACTGCATCAGAAGACTTTGGTTCAGGAGCAACAGAAAGAGGAAACGAGCTGGTTCCTGCTGCCACTGATGAGCATCCACTTCAGACCTGACACTTTTCCTCTCATCAGCAGCGTTTTTTACCGTCAGGAGGAAGAAATGCCCCCTTTAGTTGGAGCGGAGTTGGTCCAGACACCAGTGCAGCTCTACCGGTACCTGCTGAGATGCTGCAGGGTGTTGCCGTCCTCAGCCATGCAGCAGCACTACCGTCACGCCATCAGACAGGTGAGGTGTGACACTCAATATCATACTGTACGCTTTTCACAAGAGATATGTTTGTGAAGGTTTGAGTTAAATAATAAAGTGCTGATATTTCTCAGTGAGCCTTAAGGACATGTGAGGTGGTTATGTTTGAAATTGTTCCTGTTAAAGATCAAGGGCTGCTCAGTTCCTTGGTGGGAGTTGAGATTACACCTGGACAGGTCACCAGTCTATCCTTCCAAATGTTCTGGGAAGGCTGGGATGTAACTACCAACCTTTTTAATCAACATGCAACTGCAGTTCCCAGTGATCCACATCCACCAGTCAGGAGTTGAACCCAGAACATGATCAGTGTGGGGAAACCTTGAGCCACTATGCAACCCAAAATATCTTTTACCACCACGAGGAAACAAAGAAAAGACTAAAGCAGCTCCCAGTAAAGACCCAGTTGTTACCAAGAGCTGCTAAACTCAGTCCTACTGTAGCCTGTGTGGGTCAGGCTGTAGCCTGAATAACCAACCATCAAAGGTCAGAATAGTCAGGAGCACGGCGCTGTAGTAAGGCCTACTTGTAGTTCACACGTAGCCGGGTTTTTTTAAAAACGAATATCCGCCCCTCCAAAAACTTGCATCCACACCACCTCTTTTAAAAAAAACTGTCCACACGTACCCGGCTAAATACGTTGTTAAGGACATGCCAGACCTGTAGGCGGCAGTACTTCCCCCGTTCTTAACCTCGTCCTTCGTCTGTGGTCTTCCACAAGGAGCAGTAATTCCGCTTGCAAAAACAAACAAGCACAAAGCGCTTGGACAATTGATAAAGCGAGCGCAGCTCTGAGGGCATCCATGCTGTCGGCTAGTGTAAACACAGGTCGCACACGTGATGTCAGCATTTTTTGTCGCGGAAAGTGACGTTGCGGACCTTAAAACTCCGGTTTTGTCCGTCCACACGTAGCCGGGGATCTGCCAAAACGTAGATATTTTACTACATTTTGGCCTGTCATCCACACGAAAATTGATCTTTTTAAAACCCCCCGGCCAAAGTGAAGATCTGCGTTTTCTCCGTTTTGGGTGTCTGCGTGTGGACAGACAAAACCGGAGTTTTAATGTCTGCAACGTCACTTTCCGCGACAAAAAAATGCTGACATCACGTGTGCGACCTGTGGTTACACTAGCCGACAGCATGGATGCCCTCAGAGCTGCGCTCTGTCACTACCCGATCCATCAATTGTCCAAGCGCTTTTTGCTTGTTTGTTTTTGCAAGCGGAATTACTGCTCCTTGTGGAAGACCACAGACGAAGGACGAGGTTAAGAACGGGGGAAGTACTGCCGCCTACAGGTCTGGCATGTCCTTAACAACGTATTTATCCGGGTACGTGTGGACAGTTTTTTTTCTTTTTTAAACGAGGTGGTGTGGGTGCAAGTTTTTGGAGGGGCGGATATTCGTTTTTAAAAAACCCCGGCTACGTGTGGACTAGGCCTGAGTCTGAGTGGTTTTAGCTGCAGTGTTCGAAACATTTTAACATCAACGTTACTCTAACATGACCAGATCGTTTTCAAGCGTTCTGTCTTACACATTTGTTGTCATCTTTATAAGTAACACATAAAACTAGAATTCTGAATCATTCATCACATCTTTAGGCTCCTATTTGGGCTGTTTTTTTCATTTTATTTCAGGGTTTCAACAGCCACTCGGATGAAGATGATCCAGAGAGGATACAGATGATCATTGAGAGGGCCATCGCTGATGCAGACTGGGTTCTGCACAAAGTAAGGAGGAAACGGAGCTGCTCTTCTTTTATTTTGTAGCATACTGATTTTTGTGTTTGCTGCTTTGATTCACAGTATACCAAGAAGTGAGCTTCATCAGCAGGAGGATGGTCTAGAGGTGGCTGCATCTGAAGTCAGGATTTAGTCTTTCTGTTGTAACCATTACATGATAGCGACAAAACACTTCAGAGGTAAAGGGACTGTTGCTTCTGTAAATACCTGCTGTAAATAGCTAAATAAATGATCTGTCATAAGTGTTGTATTGCTGCTTGAGCAGGGAGAAGTTGCAGCCCTGCTGCATTATGGGAAATGGATGCTTTTGTACAACAGGACCATGTTAAGGACAACAATGCGTCAGGATGTTCTCATTTCAGAGCCAAGTGAAGAGGTTAACCGTGTGCTAACACCTTGGATTCTTATGTCAGTTCTCTTGTTTGCTCTTCCTTCTTCCATCTCAGGAACAATGCTAAGCTGAGTCCCATTCTGTCTCGCTCTGAACTTGAGACAGTTATCCGCACCTTCATCTCCTCATGCTTAGACTACTGTAACTCTCTTTTCACGTGTCTGAGCAGAACCTCCCTGAACCGTCTACAGGTGGTTCAGAATGCCTGTGCTCGGCTTCTGACCAAGTCCTCCAAACACACCCACATCACCCCGCTTCTCCTCCAGCTTCATTGGCTGCCAGTCAACTCCAGGGTTCATTTCAAGATCCTGGTTCTGGTCTATAGGGCCTTACATGGACAAGCACCATCTTACATTGGTGATCTTCTCAGTCCCTACACCCCCAGCAGGTCCCTGAGGTCCAGCCTACTGGTTGTGCAGCACCAGGTTAAAGACCAAAGGTGACAGATCATTTGCTGCTGTGGCCCCCAGACTCTGGACCTCTCTCCCCCTGAGCCTGAGATCAGTGGACTCAGTGGTCTCCTTTAAAAAGCAGCTGAAGACTCACTTGTTCAAGCTGGCTTTGGTATGACCTTCTTCACCACTCTCTTTATTCTGCTCTCCCCACCTATTCCACCTTCCTCAGGATCCACTGATTTCCCTCTTTCCTATTCTCTCTTTACATTTTTAATCACAATTGTCTGTTTTTGCTGATTTTTAATCATTTTCTAAATTCTTTTACATTTTTTGTGAAGCGCCTCGTGATTTTTATCTTGAGGCACTTTAGAACAGATCTTTTCTTATTCTTCTAACAGCATGGGAACTAGCCTGGCAAGCCAGACTAAATAATCGTATTACTTATATTATTTGTTTGCACAATTCATTTATTATTTATTTGCAAACTTTGCAAAGCAAGAATTTGGTCTAGTTCACTAGGCTCCATGGGAACACCTCTGAGGAGTAAACAGCTCTCAGATTTAAAGCAACTTTTTGTTCTGTAGGTAAAAAAAAAAGAAAATCCTGGGAGTTTTACTAAAACCAAACATACATGTGAGATTAACCCACCAACCATCAAGACAGATTTATTCAATACACAGTATTCAAGTAAAACATCTGTAGGAATCTAAGAAAAGCTTGTGTTTATATCCGCAGGTCGGCTAGAACGGGCTTTCATAACAAGGAAACGTTTGAAACTTGCTAACAATCACATGCAGAATTCATGACAGTTCATAGAAAAAGTTACAAAACTAGATATACAGATTAATTTTCATCATGAAAAGTATTAATAATGCTGCTTCATATAAATAGATCTACATTTTTCTGTTGGACTTTGATATAGACACATCTGATGTTGAGCGTTCAGCATGGCTGCTTTGATGTGTTGCAGACACACACACGCACACACGTCTGAGATCAGCGTCGCAGAAACGGGTGTTGAGGTTTCCTGATGACACTGAAGCTGGGTTTCAGATGACGAAGCTCCAGTAGGAGTGACTTAAAATGACAATCACTCTGGAAAGGCACTCAGAGGCTGAATGTATCGTTCTTTATTCGTGTTCTCTCACTTCTGCAGAATAAACTGGTCGATGAACTCGTTCTGTTCAGACTCCACTTTGGACAGGGCTTCGTACTCGATGCGATACCTGAAACACAACAGCAGCTCACAGGACGGGACCGACAGTTAGAACTTGGGGTAAATATGAAGGTCCACTTCACTACAGCTGACTCCCAGCACAATACTCCAGACCCCCATTCCTCTGCTGCTCCTGCCTCAGCTTCACCGAGGAACAAATAAATAAAACAAGGCAGTAGAAAAAAGCCTTTTCAAGAACAACTGAATTAAGTAAAACACTGTGTGCTCCTGAAGCCTGTTCCATTTTATTACTAATGTTACATAAACAGGGCTTTTTACTGAGTTTGAGGCACAAGTTTGATTATAGCATACAAAGTGGAACTAAAAAAAACTTCCTTCAGTCCTTCAAAATAATAGTCTCATCATTTACCTTAAAACATCTGAAGGTTAAAAACTATATTTTTCTACAAAACAAAAAAGTTCATCACTAAAGTATTTTAAAAGTACCCTTATAGGTGTTTATTGTTCTGAAGGTCACGTGTCCCTAAAGGGTCATGCTAACCCATCTGACACACGTGCACCGCGCTACTTTACCTCTCCAACTGCATCTTCTTCTCAGTGATCAGGGCCTGAAGCTGCTGCTGCTGGGCTTCTCTTTGTTTTGCCACAGACTTCAGCAAGTTTCTGGCTCCAATCGCCTACAGGACAGGATGATGAGTAATAAGTTCTGCTTACACGTGATTAGAGCATAAACCCGATACCACTAAAAGTTTCACAGAATCAGGAGAGAAAACAGGGACATACAAAGCTGCTTTCTGTGTCAGACTTACCTTCATCTTCTCCGTTTCTGCTTCTTTTGCCAGTTCGTCCACCAGCTCGATTAGACCACCCACGGTCTTCTGAAACTGTCCAATTTCTGCAACAGAGGAGACAATTTTGCACACACTGTTGAGGCTGGTGATGATGAAAGGGAATAAATAGTTGGAAAAGTGTGGGGGTGGGGATGAGGACGTAAAATCTCCATGCTTACTGTCTACAAAGTCCTTGCACTCTTCTTTAAGCTCTGACGTCTTGTGGCTGACATCAGGCTCTAGCACCCGCAGCTTGTTCAGGTCATCAAAATAAAACCCTGCCTCTGCGAGTGGGTCTTTAGCCATGGCCAGAGGCCTGTCATCAACGACAGATGCAACTTAGTTTAGTAATATCAGATAGTTTGTAGGATAATATACCTGACAGGTAACACCCCATTATCATCATAATACACACAAGAGCAGGTTCAAAACAAACAGAAGTAAAACACATTATTTTACTAAAGATGTTCAAGTGCAAACCTTTCGGTAAAGCAGGATTCCTTCTACTCTAGTGCTTAAATTAACAGCACCTTAAATTAACCTCGGCTGAATGAAAGTTCATGTGTCACCAAATGAAAGATTATGCTTTTATTTTGTTTCGGTCATGTTAAGAACTCCCCAGCTAGATGATTTAAGTTAGCTAGCATAGCTAGATGTTTCAAAAATGCCACAAATTGTTTTCTGTCACCACTTCATAATAGATGACCAGTTTTTATGAAGATAAGAAACACAAATGTGTATGTTTTACCTGTTACAGTCGTGAGCTGATAGGCTTTATCCCGTGTGATGTGGCAGAGCAGATGAACTAGCAGCTAAGCTCCTCCTGTCGCTGCCAAGGAAACCAAACAGCTACAGCTGTGTCGGGGTCTTTGGGGGTGGTCGTTTTCCCCTATCCTTCTTAATTATCATAACAAAACTATTCACTGTTTCGTTACAACGCTGTCCCCTATGTTTTTTCCGTTTGAATACTTTACCGGTGTGTTACGTCAACATGAGTTCCTCTAGGGTGGGTGGAGGACTCGTATCGAGGTAACACCGGAGAACGGGAGTGACATGTTTATCGTAATGTTTTTAGAACTGTGACCAAGTCAGTCGCTCAGTGACATAAATGATCTAAAATTTAAATCTAAAAAAAAAAATTAAATAAAAAAAAAGCCCAACTATATGTTGTTTCTCTTATCTACTGTGGGTGTTCCACCCCAATGCGGAAGGTGACGGTAATGAACCGAAAAAGCAGTTCGCTAACAGCCATTCCAGAAAAAGAACAAGAAACGGATACGTCTGTTTTGTTTTCTTTCTTTTTTAAAATCATTTAAAACTCCATTTGTTTATTGTTGTTGTAAATATTACTTAAAATCATAAAAAAGAGGACGGTGAGTAACTAAAGCTTACAGACTCATACCGTGTTTAGGATCAACTGTAGGATCCAGTTTGGCCATTTTTTACTTTTCCTTAGTTTAGTTCCTTAGTTTATTGAAGTTTTACCTCGTGATCACGAATATTCAGGAGTTAGTTTTCCGTTTACTAGAAATGCATTTAATGCAAACAGCGATATCGTTTCAGTGCGTTCAGCTTCTAATATTTGATCTGTTGTTTATCTGCTTTTCTGAGTTTTTTGCTAATGTTAGCGGGACATGCTAACAAGATACAGTAAAACGAATAAACATACAGCATAAAAGCTGTTGTTTCCACTGACCTGTGCTATTCTGAACTGAAACTGTATATCAGAGTTAACACGCATGTGAAACTAAATATTGTGTTTACACGGAGTTTAGTTATCATCACCTAACCTAACTGTTACTGGGCCCCAAACTATTTTTTTATCGGAATTTTTTAGCAGCCACACAACTTTAACCAGAAAGCAGCAGCTTCCATCTTAAGCTAAACTGATTGTTTTGGGACAAGAGTAAATGAAAAACTCCCTACTGGAGCCTCATAGGTGTTTTGGATCTGTTGGACTTCAGATAAACTGGTGCACCATCTATCTGAGACGGAAACAGGAAGTACACAGCACGATTTCCTCTGAAAATGACTACAACCGCATTACCAAATAATCTCTCAAAAATAAACATTAAACTTTGACGTATTCGTTTAAATAACAACTAAGGTATTTTATCAAGTGCTTTTAACTGAGAATGATACAAATAGTTATGAATCACAGGAGCTATTAGATGTTTAAAGTGTAACAGAAAGAGAATTTTAAAGTGTTTGGTTGTTTTATTAAACACTTTGTGTTCTTTAAGGTTCAAACACCTCCTGTAGACCATGTGAAAAGTCTAATAAGAAAATAAAAGAACAATAAAACTGAAAATAAGGAAGGCTGGAGCATTCAGGTGAGTAAAGGTTTATTAGGTGTGAGTAGGGATCCACAATATATCACAAATAAGTCGTTATCGCAATATCAGCATGCGCAATATGCATATCGCAAAGAACAGGTAAATACAGCAATGAATGGTCAGCTCAGATGTTTGCTACACATAATGCATTCTGTCAATCAAGCAGAAGCATTATGTTTTTTAAACAAATCAAATAGAGCTCTTTGGCATATTGGGTGGGTTCTCATAGGTTAGATGTCCGCCCCTGAGGCAGACGGCACTTAATTTTGATGGTTAGCAAACACCTGAGTTAGCTTTGTTCTGCTCTTTCTGCTTTTCCCGGGATCCACTGATTGCCTTTTATTGTTCATTTTATTTTTCCCTTTCCTCACATCTTTTGCTTTTCTCATTTTTATGATTTCTTTTTGTAATTTATTTATTTTGATTATTTTTGTTGCTGAGTTGAGTTTTTAATTATCGCAAGTCATATCGTCATTGCAATATTAGTCACTGTTATCGCATATCTCAGGTTTTCCTAATATCCTAGGTGTGAGTTAAAAGGACTAACGTTTCAACACTATGTGTCTTCGTCAGAGTTATGACATTGGTTACTCTGACGAAGACACATAGTGTCAAAACGTCCTTTTTACTTGCACCTAATAAACCTTTACTCACCTTGAGTCGTCCAGCCTTCCAGCTTTTCATTCAGTGTTCACCGGCTGTGGAGCACCGACCTGTGAGGGGTTGATACGCAGAGGGCTCCATTCCCTAACAATAATAAGACATTTTAGTGCTGTTTCTGATTTTTTAAAACACAATTTGGTGCAGAGTGAAAGATTGACCCATTATCTTCTTCAGTTAATCTAAGTGAAATTGAGGCATTCACTCAGAACTCAAACAACAGATTAGATCACCTCCACTTCGGTTATGTTCATGCACAGCCTCAAAAATCAGCTGTTAACATCATTCATGCAGAAATAAGTACACAGGAAGGAAACCGTTTCAGTGAGCTGAAACATGCAACACATTAGGATCACATGGTTCTTAAAGCCTCCACTGAGTTGTGACCGTCAGAACATGATCTGGTGTGTTTTATAGGTGGACAGGTAGAGACCCACTGGACCCACTTCCAGTAGGATCTGTCTTTCTTTCTTTCTTTCTTTCTTTCTTTCTTTCTTTCTTTCTTTCTTTCTTTCTTTCTTTCTTTCTTTCTTTCTTTCTTTCTTTCTTTCTTTCTTTCTTTCTTTCTTTCTTTCTTTCTTTCTTTCTTTCTTTCTTTCTTTCTTTCTTTCTTTCTTTCTTTCTTTCTTTCTTTCTTTCTTTCTTTCTTTCTTTCTTTCTTTATTCATTCATTCAGACATTTAACCTTCTTTTAGATTGAATTGACTATTTGCTGTGAGCCAGAGAAACTGTGCCTCTTCCACAAATTTCTTCTTAGAGGCTGTAGCCAACCTTTGCAGTCAGACTTGTCTGAGAAGGACCTGCAGCTTTCTGAGTGTCTTTTGCAGCTCCGTGTGGTGATTTCATCTTCACTTGATATTTAAAGAGCCTCCAGGAGCTCTGTGCCCTCTCGGTGAGAACAGCCAGGTCGGTTAAAAACACTTATGTGTAGATCACTTTTAACACTTGAATGCTTTAGTCTTTGACGTGGTCTTATTTCCACATCAACTGTGGTGATTTCTGTGGCCCGTTTTCACCGGTCAATCAGTTTACACACCCGTTTATTCAACCTGACTTCCTCCGATGACTGTGGGTCTAACTCGCAGCACTGTTTTTCCAGGAATGATCTGGGGCTGTGAAAGGTCGAGGCAGCCTCTCCAGTAGCTGTCACCACGGCGGGGGACCTGCGTAGCTCCGTCTGCAGGGTTGTCATCTACCTCCAAAAGGACATGTCTGGGGACAGCTGTCTTCCCCAGCATCATGTTCAGGATACCCCTGCACCCCCAGCCCCTCTCATGGCTTGTCCCAAGACCAAGACCTGCAGCTACCGAGGAGCCGTGGGTCTGGGCAACAAGTATGTCCATCTCAACGTTGGAGGAATGCTGTTTGACACCACGCTGCAAGTTCTGACCAAACAAAATTCCATGCTGAAAGCCATGTTCAGTGGAAAGAGAGAGGTTTTCACCGACAAAGACGGTTAGTTGGTGATCTGTCTCAGCACTATAATTTACTGTTGGGATTCATGTCTGGCTACTACCATCCTTTCATCTACTCTCAGCATGGATCAGGAAACAGTCTGTCATCATAGACTGTTGCTTCCTTGCAGGTTGGATCCTGATCGACCGTAGCGGGAAACACTTTGGCAGCATCCTGTGTTTCCTACGAGATGGAACCGTTGGCCTACCCAAAGGTCGGCAGGCCGTGCAGGAGCTGATGGCTGAGGCCAAGTACTACCTAATCCAGGACCTCGTAGAGCTCTGTCAGAACGCCCTGCTGGTCAGTTACTATAAATCAATATGCCATTGTGTTGCATTCTGATTTATGAAGGTGTCTCTACAAGCAGGAAAACCGAGATCAGCCCACTGTAATCATGTTTTATTTAAATGTATATCCCGTTGGTCACTGGCAGCAATTTACATTAATGCAAAAATCTTTACTTTTATTAAAACGGAAGTCATAATACTTAGTCCTGGCAGAAGAAATGGCTCTGGTGCTGATATTGACCTTGGCCCATTGACACCCTATGAAAAGAAAATGGTCAGTAATTTGGGGATTAAAATCGACTCATCACTTAATCTTGACACTCATGTAAATACAGTGGTGAGGTCCTGTTTCTTTAACCTGAAAAGACTATCCAGGATCAGGCCTCTGCTGTCCAGAGCTCATCTGGAGTCTGTGTTGCATCCCTTCGTCCTTTCCCGGCTGGACTACTGCAACGCTCTGTATGCTGGTCTGGCCCAGTGCACGGTTGCACGGCTCCAGTTTGTGCAGAACTCTGTGGCTAGGTTCCTGACAGGCATTAGATGTCGAGAGCACATTACCCCAGTGCTGGCTGCTCTGCACTGGCTCCCGGTAAAATATCGAGCTCAGTTTAAAATCTTAACTCTCGTTTATAAGGCCCTCCAGGGCAGTGCCCCCTCGTACATTACTGCGCTTTTGAACAGGTATGCTCCATCTCGGTCTCTTCGCTCAGCCGAGCAGGAACTTCTGGTGGTCCCCCGGCCGAAATTTCGATCGAGGGGTTGTCGTGCTTTTTCTATTTTGGCTCCAACTCTGTGGAATGAATTACCACTGAGCATTAGGCAGGCACCATCCCTTCAAGTCTTTAAGCCTCGTTTAAAGACTCATTTTTATCTGATTGCGTTTCAGCGCTAGGGTCACTTGAACTGCCCTAACATTATGGTTTTAACTATTCTTCTTTTTAACCCAGATGCTTGATTTTATTTTGTCCGACATTTGTTTTTTTATCGATTAGTCTTATTCCGATATCTCTTATCTGTAATAGTATTTGCTTGATATTTTTTGATTTTATGTTTTTATCCTGCTTTTATGCCCATGTACTGGGAATGTTTTTCTTTTAATGATGTTGTTCAGCACCTTGGGCTTCGGATAATGTTGTAGAAGGTGCTATACAAATAAAATTTGATTGATTGATTGATTGCTTCAAGAACTTCATCCAAATTTTATCCAGTTCAGAGGAAATCACAGTTAGTCTGTCACTGTTTTCTATACATTATGTTTCAATTAATTAATTAACTACACTTTTTCATTTGTGCAATCTGAGATCCTTTTATTTATTTTATTTTATCATTTGTTTATCCTTCCAACACGTTTAACTGCAAAGCCACTTTGTACAGATGTGCCACTTAAATAGACTTCCCCTAAACATGGTGACATCATCACTAGTAGCCACTAACCCAAACATGGTGACATCATCACTAGTAGCCACTAACCCAAACATGGTGGCATCATCACTAGTAGCCACTAACCCAAACATGGTGACATCATCACTAGTAGCCACTAACCCAAACATGGTGACATCATCACTAGTAGCCACTAACCCAAACATGGTGACATCATCACTAGTAGCCACTAACCCAAACATGGTGGCATCATTACTAGTAGCCACTAACCCAAACATGGTGACATCATCACAAGTAGCCACTAACCCAAACATGGTGACATCATCACTAGTAGCCACTAACCCAAACATGGTGATATCATCACTAGTAGCCACTAACCCAAACATGGTGATATCATCACTAGTAGCCACTAACCCAAACATGGTGGCATCATTACTAGTAGCCACTAACCCAAACATGGTGATATCATCACTAGTAGCCACTAACCCAAACATGGTGATATCATCACTAGTAGCCACTAACCCAAACATGGTGACATCATCACTAGTAGCCACTAACCCAAACATGGTGATATCATCACTAGTAGCCACTAACCCAAACATGGTGATATCATCACTAGTAGCCACTAACCCAAACATGGTGGCATCATTACTAGTAGCCACTAACCCAAACATGGTGATATCATCACTAGTAGCCACTAACCCAAACATGGTGATATCATCACTAGTAGCCACTAACCCAAACATGGTGGCATCATTACTAGTAGCCACTAACCCAAACATGGTGATATCATCACTAGTAGCCACTAACCCAAACATGGTGATATCATCACTAGTAGCCACTAACCCAAACATGGTGACATCATCACTAGTAGCCACTAACCCAAACATGGTGATATCATCACTAGTAGCCACTAACCCAAACATGGTGATATCATCACTAGTAGCCACTAACCCAAACATGGTGGCATCATTACTAGTAGCCACTAACCCAAACATGGTGATATCATCACTAGTAGCCACTAACCCAAACATGGTGGCATCATCACTAGTAGCCATTAACCCAAACATGGTGGCATCATCACTAGTAGCCACTAACCCAAACATGGTGACATCATCACTAGTAGCCACTAACCCAAACATGGTGACATCATCACTAGTAGCCACTAACCCAAACATGGTGACATCATCACTAGTAGCCACTAACCCAAACATGGTGACATCATCACTAGTAGCCACTAACCCAAACATGGTGGCATCATCACTAGTAGCCACTAACCCAAACATGGTGACATCATCACTAGTAGCCACTAACCCAAACATGGTGGCATCATCACTAGTAGCCACTAACCCAAACATGGTGACATCATCACTAGTAGCCACTTACCCAAACATGGTGACATCATCACTAGTAGCCACTAACCCAAACATGGTGGCATCATCACTAGTAGCCACTAACCCAAACATGGTGGCATCATCACTAGTAGCCACTAACCCAAACATGGTGGCATCATCACTAGTAGCCACTAACCCAAATATGGTGACTTCATCACTAGTAGCCACTAACCCAAACATGGTGACATCATCACTAGTAGCCACTAACCCAAACATGGTGACATCATCACTAGTAGCCACTAACCCAAACATGGTGACATCGGCTGTGTTCCAGATGAGCCAGTTCTGTGCAGATAGATCACTGGTAATCGGCGCGCAGTGCATGCTGGTTAGATTTGTGTCCGACTTAACGCCTACGTAGGCAACGATAACCTCATGAGTTCAAGGTGGCTGCAGATTTTGGAGCAAGGCGCTGCAGTTGCTCTCCACCGGCTGCAAAACCTAGAGCATGACAGGAAACGCCTGGCTCTCACCTGATCTAAGATCTGATTGGTTCACATTTTGATCCAAACATCCGGTGGTAGAACATGAAATGTTAGTTGGTCACATGTATTCTGTAAATCATGTTACGTTGATGATGACAACTATATAGGCCATAAAGAGGAATGTGTTTTGTGTTCTTTTCTCACGTTTCCTATGAGCACACTGAACATACAGCTGATGACCTTTACTTATTATTACAGTCATGATTTCATATACAATATATGATATCCACAAGCACGTGAGGATGTGTTTCAGTTGCTAACAGGCACCAGAATTAAAGTGTGAACGCTAACGCGATATCTTCAGACATCATCACCCGCAAGCTACATGTAGGGAAATCTGTCCGACTTAAATGCCGGCTTTCAGCCGCTCCCCCTGCTGCGTCCGTCTGCTCTCTGTTTTCCAGGCGAGGCGCTGCTCATCTCAAACATGGCCATCATCACTAGCCCACTAACCCAAACATGGTGACATCATCACCATGTTGAAATCTATTCATTATGCTTTTGTTCAGTAAATCAGAATCCGCCCTGAAAACCAGGAAGCTCTATATTGATGAAAATGTATCTAAACCTAATTAAGGACATTTATTTTGATTTGACTCCACTGTTTTTTCTCTCTCAACACATTTTGTGATGTCTGATTTCTAATCGATGTGCTACTTCTGTTCTGCAGGAGAAGAACGAGCAGCCTCTTTGTGTTATACCTGTGATCACTTCCTGTAGAGAAGAGGAGCTGCTCATCCAGACCTCCTCTAAAGTACACACACACACACACACACACACATAACCTGACGTATACTTTACAAAACCACATTTTAAATATTTTGTAACTTATTGTCATTAATTAGTCTCTTTTTAAGGTGAATTGTGTGTGTGCTTGCTTGCCTTCATGCTAAAGAAATGCGTCAGTTTGATGTTTCTTTTATTTCTTGGTGTTTTAAAGGTGCATTGTGTAGAAATGAAGGGAAAGTGACATCCTGTGGTAAAATCTGGTTACTGCAGCCACTTTAAACAACTCTGGAGCTTTTTGCCGGCCGTCGTCAAATTATAACAAATTGTCAACGCTGCAGTATTAGCTGGCAGGAGACACGACACCCCCACACTCACTGAAGTAAACGGTAGTTACGCCCCTCCTTCCTTTGTTTTGAAAGGAGGAAACCTGACAACCCAGCAACCAGCTGGATATGAAATATGTTTCAGTATAACCTTCCTTCCAAAATGACTGAAACATTAGACTCTTTGGGGATTTTCTCATTGTAAAATTCTCACTATATTACATAGTGCACCTTTAAATGAGTAAAATCTAGATAAGTGATGAGTGTTTTCTTGTCTGTTAGCCTGTAGTGAAGCTGGTGTACAACAGAAGCAATAACAAGTACTCCTACACCAGGTGACACGGCCTCTTCCTGACATTTAAGCAGTCGTAGTTCACGATGCTCCCTGAGACTCTCCCCTCCAGCTCACTTTGTTTTCCTCTCCACAGTAACTCTGATGACAACCTGCTGAAGAACATCGAGCTGTTCGACAGACTGACGCTCAGCTTCAACAGCCGTGTCCTCTTCATCAAAGACGTGATCGGAGATGAAATCTGCTGCTGGTCCTTCTACGGTCAGGGCCGCAAGCTGACCGAGGTGTGCTGCACCTCCATCGTCTACGCCACAGAGAAAAAACAGACTAAGGTAGTAGATCAGACGAAATAAATGTTGCAGTAAAACAGATGGGTTTGTAACTGACCTGTTGTCGTGTTGCCAACGTTACCCGTCCCAGGTGGAGTTCCCTGAAGCTCGTATCTACGAGGAGACGCTGAACTCCTTGCTTTACGAGAAGATGCCGCTCCCTGATAACTCCCTGCTGGAGGTCACTCGGCGGACCTACAACAACAGTGGCTCTCACAGTGAAGACGAGGAAGATGGAACCAGAGGAAGTGAGCTGTGCGAGCGCGTCCGCCGTATCCACGTGAAGCGGTACAGCACGTACGACGACCGCCCGCTGGGACACTGAGACTAAAACCCACCAGTCTGATGGATTTCACCGCTATTTTTCATCATGGACTTGAAAAGATGTTTTTAACAAAAAGTTTCAGTGGGAAATCAGCTGATCGCTCATGCTTTTCCCTGACTGTCCACCCGGAGGTCCTCATCCTGACCTAACAGTGTGATTCTACTCCAGGGGGAAGTCACTCTGTTACCAAACCATCAACAGCTGTGATGTTTATTAAAGGAAAGGAAAGGGACACTTCTGTTGTGGTTTATTGGTAAATAAAATGTTCAAATCCTCAGTTACACAAGAAAGAAAGCACATTTCCTTTTACAGATTGTTTTTACCTTTTTGCAGCCGGTAGTTTGAACCCGTGCCTCTGATAGGACGTAATGCTGCTCGCCTGAGTGCCTTTGGCCAGATGTGAAAATAAAGATTTGTGTTATTCTCATCTTGTGTGTGTTCCATTACCAGAGATCCTTTTATTTATTGTCTGACTTCATCAGAAGTTATAAACAAATGTTAGAAGATTTTCCCGATGGAATCAAAATTGCCCAGAGCCCATTTGACAACTAGGCTGGATGAGAGTTGACTGTTTTATTTAGTAAATGATGTCTCCGTCTTCACCGTATGCCAAGTGTCCCAAGACATCAGCTTTGAAAGTTCCTTACCCTGAATGTGTCTGGGTCTGAAACGTGGTGGGCTGATTGGTTTCTGATGACTCGGAGTCCAACTTACGCCTGTGGGTGTGAAAATGTGCTTCTAGTTTTTATTTAAATGAGCAAAAATGTTTTTCACACCAGTCTTGACTAACATCAGCGAGCATCATGTCTGGATCTAGCAAGAAGATTTTCATACTGACCTAAACGCTATAATTACTCTTCGTCATCGTAAGAGTTGATCACATCTGGAGAGTGTCGGTACAGGGCAGCAGGTCTGTGTGAGGACCTGACACACGCGGGGCTGTGAGAGTATTTTATTCTTTCCTAACTAAAGATCACCATGGACTAAACGCCTGCTCAGGCACAGCCCCGACTCGACCAGCTGGAGGCAGCCTCCTCTGACCTTGAGGAGCAGGTGAGTGACTTGCTCCTGGTGTCTGAGCGGATCTCTGCTGTTTCAGGACTGGGTACTGTTCTGGTTCTGTGGTGGTTGCAGGTGCATCTTCAGTCCACACGGAGGCACAAGCAGCAGGTCTGCTGATGGAACACCAAAGGAGGATGACCTCATCACATCCCTGTGATGTCATTCATCTTGCAGGAGGCCAGCTTGGCATCAGCACATGGTCAACGTGTCCTAGAGGAAGCCCTATTTTTGGACTCCTGTGTGTGACTCCACCTGAGGAGAGCAATGAAGCTAGACGAGTTTAGCAGGTGGAGTCTTCCTGCGGTGACAGGATGAGACAGACCTGAAGATGCTCACAGCTTCAGGGTCCACCAGACCTCCGGATTTAAAGGAGGGAGGAGGAGGAGATGCTAAAAATAGCCTCCAGATTCTACAGGTTGCTGTGGGATGCTGACAGGGTGCCGGTTGTGGGCGGGGCTGGATGCGGGTCTGGTCTGGGCAGGGTGGGGTGGGACTGGATGCTGGATCCTCTCTCAGTTTCCTCCATTGATCAGCTCGGTGAAGAAGGCGGGTCCTCTGACGTCACCGCGGAGCTGCTCGGCTGCGTCAGAGTCCAGCTGAGCGAGGCGAGAAGGAAACGAGGAATAAAAGGAAGCGGTTCTGATTGGCCGGGTAGAGCGGACTCGGAGTGCCGGACCGGTTCGAGCTCAGCGGACGGACATGGAGGGCAGCTCGGAGGAAGAATACAAGGAGAAATTATTATGGACCGTCAAGCGGGAGGTAGGTTCTGGTTCTGGTGTCAGACGGCCTGTCACGGTTTAAGATCCGCTCCAGACTCCAGCTGAGGAGCGCGGTTCTGGTCCTCAGGTAGCTCCTACAGGTTACGGTGCACCTGCGGGTCTCACTCGAGTCTCTGACATCTTTTATATATATCTGTTCAGATAAAAACGACTAAATCAGTGAAATAACCCATGAAACGTCCCAGCGTCACACCGCTCCAGGAAAACTGATGAACATCAGAATCAATAGAAACGGAGGATCAATCCTATCAGTAAGCCCGGCTCTTATTCTGGCTCTGGTTGAGTAAAGTAGTTGTGAGGAGTTTAGTCTGGAGCGGATGGAGGCAGCCTGAAACTGTGAGCATCATCAGAACCTCTCATCCTGCTCTGCTTCACATCTTCTGTGGGGAATTCATCCCATCCACACATTCCCACGTGAATCCTCCAGATGCTGCAGGTACAAATATTCTCCCCCAGCTGAAATGTTCAGGTCACATGTCAGAGACTGAAGGTGTGGCTCAGTGTCCAACATGATGTTCAGTGTGGAACGGAGAGCAGAGGAACTGGTGTGGGGGTGGAGATGGGTTTCATAACCTCTGTTCTCTCCTGATTGAAATAGACACAAAGCAAAGGATGTGGTTTTCTGAGTTCTTACTAATGCAGTCGGGATATTATTTGTTCATGAAGAAGTTCTAATGCACCAAAATAGATGATTCCTGTCTGAGAAAATCACTTATCAGCTCAAATTACAGATTCAACAGAAGGGATGATCTAACGTGCATTAGTTTAATTACATATCTGCTGGGTTATTCTCGGTTTCTGATGACTGTCTGGACCCATCAGCCAGTCCTCATCCAGAATGATCATTTTCCCTGAACCAGCTTTAATTCTTCTTCTTCCAGCAGTTAAAGTCCCATTAGTTGTGCGTGGTGTGTGTGCGAAATTTGTTCTCTGCATTTGACCCATCCCCTGGGGGAGTGGTGAGCTGCAGACACAGCCGCGCTCGGGAACCATTTGGTGGTTTTACCCCCCCAATCCAACCCCTTAATGCTGAGTGTCGAGCAGGGAGGCATTGGGTCCCATTTTTCAAAGTCTTTGGTATGACCCGACCAGGAATCGAACCCTGATCTCCCAGTCTCAGGGCGGACACTCTACCACTAGGCCACTGAGCTGGTTTGGTCAGTTGCACATGATTGGGATCATTGTGATGTCTATTAGGCTGATCTTGGCTTTAGTTCCCAGGATTTCTGGGATATGCTTCAGATGTTCAGAGAACTGAGGAGGAGCGTTCCATGAAGTGACTGGAAGCTGTGTTGTTGCTTGTTCTCAAACATTCCTGGGCTGTTCACTTTCCTGTATGCTAATCCACGGTGTGTACGATTTAATTAATCTGATTTCTGTTTTCCAGCTGAGCTGCAGATCTATAACTTTCAACACCAGCTGATCCGTTACAGTAACTCCACTCACATGCTGCCTCCTCCCCTCCTTCCTGAGATTTTCTGACATCGTCTCGCTAAAGTGTTTTGGGAAGGCTTCAAGATGCTGTCCTGTTTAAAGGTTTTCTTCTGCACTTTCTGATTAAGCTGCGTAACCATGACAACAAGAGCGTTACCATCAGTAATGTTTAGAAGGAAAACCTAAATAAGTCATGAGTAGAAGAGGAAATGTTGCAGATGTCAAGAACCAGGACAGTGAAGTTGAAGTTGGATTTCTTGTCTTGACGAACATGATGGGTTTGGATTTCAGCAGGCTTCGTAACGGAAAGCTGATCCTGGACAGTATTCCTGTTTTGGAATCGCTGTGTTTTCCCACTTCTCTAACGACAGTGAGCATGCACATTAGAATTGGTGATTCATCAAATTTGAAAGCCAACTAGGATTGGTTTAGCAGCTCTAAGACCTGGAAAATTCCCCAGCAGTTTGTGTGTTTAAAAGGAGAGAGACTCAGGACTAGCCTGGCATGCCATCCCATATATGTGAATACATAGCCTGGCCACGACCCATAGGGAGAGTCTGTCGTTGGGGCAGAATCTACGGTTGTCTTTCAGGCTGTTTCCGCATGCTATTGGACAACGAACAACGTGACGCACTTACCGCTATGGATGCCAGTCAACGGGGCAGTCCGCCTCACACTGTTGAAGAACAACCAAATACATCATTTTTCTAAATAAATGGCTGAAGTACCTCTATCTGCTCTTGACTCAAAAGTCCAAGTCCAAATAATTCTAAGTTGATGCTAAAGCCTTTTTGAACAAGCTAGTTCACAAAGCTAGCTCGGTTCTGGGCTGTCAACTAGATTCAGTTGAGGAGATGTGTGAAAGGAGGATGCTGGGCAAGATGGCCTCCATCTTAAAAAACCCTTCCGCCCTCTACTGGAGGCCATGGACAGCTGATGCAGCATCAGACTGAGACGGATGTAAAACAGAACGCTACAGTAGATCATTCATCCTCTCTGCAGTAACAGTGTATAGCTCCTCAGTTTAAGCTGTAATGGCATCATCCTGTTACACAATAATATCAGTTAGGGACGTGTACTGGTGAAATTATGGCGATACGATATATCACGATATACTGGGATACACTCGGTCAGATGATATTAGCAATGTTTTAGACTGAATTTACTATAGGAAACTTCAATAAACAGTTTACTCAACATGTTTACCATGAGGTATTTGAACCATAATGAAGAGATTTACATTTCAATGGTGAAAACGATGCCCATTGCACACTGCTGCCAACTAGCGGTCGGCGTTTGAATTGCACCAAAAGAAAAGAAAATGCACAAATGTTTGCATGTCAATTCTTCCAAAAATTAGATGCACGGCTTTTGAATGTCGCTATAATATAGCTGGGGAAAAAATATCACAATATATTGCCATATCGATATTTTCTTACATCCTTAATCAACGTAATATTCAGTATGTGTTTAATATCTGTACAACACCGGATGAGCATAGTCTGTGTCCGTTATGCTGCACAGTTCTGGAAACACAAGTTTCCTTTTATTAGTTGTTGTTAGTAATTGAAGGTTACAATAATAGCTCACTGCCTTTTTGTGTTTACCTGTAATCTTGTTATTATTTTTCACCTTCCTTTTCTCTACGTCTTGGTGCTGTAGCAAGTGATTTTCCCCCACTGTGGGGTCTATTCTATTCTATTCTATTCTATTCTATTCTATTCTATTCTATTCTATTCTATTTTTAAACAAGCCAACAGTGTTGTTCCACTTTGCCATCTTGCCACCAAACCAGCAGAGTGCTGTGATTGGCAAGGCACAGGACTGCTCGAGCCTGCTGAGGGTTAGGGTGGAGCGTGGCTAGACTGACATGCAGACCAGAATCCTTCTGTTTTGCTGTCTGTCTAGATTTCTAGGCTAACTCGGTGGTGGAAGGTGAAATTATCTTTTCATCAGAAGTTAGAAAACATTCAAAGATGACAAATAAAATGTTTATGAATTAAGCTAACGCTGGATCCATCATCTGGGAGTGGTTTGGATTTTGTAACGAAGGTTGAACAAACACAACTAGTTGGGTCGTTGTGTTTTTTCCGTGGGACAGGAGGCAGCATTCCATATTTACATAAGGAGCTGTTTGTATCTGATGATTCACCATAGGAGGAGGATCTGAGCTCCACACAGCTCAGAGACTCACCGGTGATGGTTAGGGATGCTAACGCTGTGTAACTGACAAAACAGCTGTCAGAGCTGACGTTCCTCTTATAAAGATTTAATTATTAATGAATAAAAGGAGATTAAAGCCATCGTGAAATGGTGAGTAATTTAGCCACTGTTTTACTCTGGTCTCAGAAGCATGTTTGGGTCAGAGGTCATGAAGCTTTTACATCAGCCCTTTACCCTCTCAGGCTCAATAAGTTTTGATGAAAGGACGAACATCTAAGTCCTTCAGGGGCACTTCTGAGTTAAAAAAGGCTCATGAAATACGTATGTGGAGTAACCAGGTACTGTAGGAAGGTTTTAACTGTTGCAAATCTGCAACGCCTGCCTCCAGAGCGCTAAGGCCAAATTCCTGGTCGGCATGTGCTTGGTTGGTTTTAACTGGAAGACGTCTACAACGACTGATTTATGTAACCAAACACGTTCTGAAGAGGCAGCTGCTGTTTAAATCTGCTCTTGTCCGTGTTTGTGATGCTTATCCTCCACAATAATGTTGAGAAACAGAGACAACGTCTATAATGTGCTGCATAGTTAGAATGCAACACTTTGCTGTCTTTAGCCAGATGTCGTGTGGAGAAGCAGAGGTGTAATCAGCCTACGGCTCATTCACAGGAATCACTCAATACCTCCTGATATTTTAAGCAACACGGCTGAAACACAACAGTCAGATCCAGGTTTCATCCCCTCCTACTCCTCCTCCTCCTTCTCTCTGCTTCTCTATTGCTTGGCAACTGAAAGCTTTTGCAGCTCCCTTCAAAGTGAAATTGCATTAGTTGGCGATTAATATCGCAGCAGTGAGGCGGTCATGTCAGGTGTTGTGAAACAGCGAGATGCTTCTGTGTTACAGAAGATGATCACACATGGATGAAGGGTTTCCCCTCTGCTGTTGCTTTTAAGAAGTTACGATTCCGTGCATGATTTGTTTCTGTCGTCTTCTTCAGAAAACCTTCTCATGTTGCTGCTGCAGCAAACCACCAGCAATCTCTATAAAGGGATGAAGCAGACAGCAGGTTAGATTTCTGAGCTCATCATTAAACCTCAACAACACCAACGAGTCATTTATCTGAGCCTGTTTCAGTTGTATCTTTCTTCTTCTTGTGTAAAATTTATTCATTGTTTGTTCACATCTGGAAACAACAAAGACCAAAGTCCCCAATACAGTTTATATGATGCACATGATGGGGCGGTGCAGTGGCTAGAGCTGTTGCCTTGCAGCGAGAAGTTCCTGGGTTCACTTCCCAGCCTGGGATCTTTCTGCATGGAGTTTGCATGTTCTCCCTGTGCATGTGTGGGTACTCTCCGGGTACTCCGGCTTCCTCACACAGTCCA